GTCAATCGGATCGATTTTTTAAATTGTTGTCCACCATATAGGTTCCGCCATTTTGAATTTTTGAAAACGGACTTCAAATTCGTAATCAGCAGACGAAAATCTTGAAGGAACGATTTCGTTTGATTTTTTTAACATTATTATTCGATAATATTACATGTTCTTTTTTTTTGACATGGCCCCCTTTGACCCCCTGTAATTCCGAAAGGGGGCATATGCTCATCTTGAAATTTTGCAGGGATTATTGGGTCATCATATGTTACCATTTGGCATAAAGAAAGTTTCAAAATTCGAGGTACGAAAAAGGTGCATTTTTTTGCATGAGGCTTTATAATCGATGGATGTGACTAGCGATCACGGAGGGGAGTTTTCTTCCTTTAGGCGTAGCCAAAATTTATTGATTCTAATATAAAAATAATAAATTTTATAAAAAAAAGTAATAATAGTATTCGCGATATTTAAAAGAATATTCTAAAAATTATTAATAATATTTATTATTTATTTATCAAAAAACTAAATTTAAAGTGGTCACGGAGGGGAGTTTTTTTGTGTCGACGAACATTGCGAAACTGAAAATCTTTCTGACACTTATTGTTTTCATTTCTTTCATGATGTTGTGTACTGACCAAAACAACATCGTCACTGTAAACACTTTTGAATTCTTCATTTCTCAATTATCATTTTTTTTTCATTTACTCATTATATTTGTAATTGGTCACGGAGGGGAGTTTACTTTGCGAACAAAACTTATTTAATTCTAGGAAAAAATATTTTACAAATATTCTGTTTTACACTTTATAAATCAATTATAAATAATGTAATTAGTAGATGTTACTAGACAAAAGATGTTTTCCTATTGCAGTATGAATGCAATAATTCTTCTTTAAATAAAACTTACTTCGCGAACGGTAACGGAGGGGAGTTTTTACACTATATAAACATGATTATATTCAATTATTTAAAATTGTCAATTTTTTTTTATAAAATCTTATTAAATTCTGTTGACTTCTATAATAAGGCCCGCAACATTTTCAATTATTATAATTATTTATTAAAAATAATGTCATGAACGTGTCATTTGTCCTTTTTGTGAGAATGACCCTTAACAATTTATGTCAGTGATTAGAATCATTCAAAAAAGCGTATGACAAATCGGCAATGAAAGATGATAAAAATTTTGATACTCCATTTTTAATTCTATTCAATTTATATACTTTCATTTTTTTCGAGTCAGTACAAAAAAAATTTTATTCTAAAACAAACGTTAATATTTTTCGTGAAGTCAATCAATGCGGATTTGGTTTTAGAAACAAAAGTTTTATAAAAAAAATGTAAGTGACAAAAATAATAAGAATAAAATTATTGGGAAGCAGAGATAAAAAAAACGTTTAATGGAATTAATCAGATATTTCTAAATCATCAAGGACGCTATGTTATATTTTTTTTAGACTCTCATTAAACTCGTTCTAATATTATATATATTAATAGATATTTTTTTCTCAATATACGCGCAACATATTATTCAAGCTTGAGTGTAGCCGGTGTGAATTTCTTGCGCCCTAGTGTTGAAAAAATATGCAGGGACGAGTTACCTAGAATTAATGCAAAACCCATGCTCCTGTTCTGCGCGGTTTACCTTCTCAACAAACCATTTCAGTATTTATTGAGGTAGTATCGAATTTGCATAGGAGCGTCACTTATGCTCCATGGACCACACAAAATGTCTACTAATGGGCATCTGCTCTGGGTCCTATCTGCGAATCTTAAATTCCGTTCGTATGGCGAACGCGACATGGACGACTATGAGTTACCATAATGGCCCGCATTGACTTTACCCTGCAATGCATATTTCCTTTAATATTGCTCTCATTTTTCACTCAGACATTTCTTTTCTTTTATCTTGTTTGTATACTTTCTTTTTCACTTATTCGAAATTCTGCTTATATTATTCGTGCAGGTTTTCTTCATTTATTTATATGTCAAGGTTTACTTTTTTAAATAATTCAAGTTGCAAAATATATAAATATAAGGATAAAAAATATATAAAATACAAAAAAGATAGGACCACGAAGAATTTTTTCTATACAAATTTTTAATTTCTTTTCTAATTAAAAAAAAAAAATTTCTTTTTAATGTTTCAGACTGAAGTACAAAAATAAGGATGTAGAGAAAGCAGCATTTCTTCGTCAAGAGAATCCACAATCGGTAAGTCGAGATTTTTTTAACATATTTAATAACAGCGATACTAATATAATTAATTTCAAAGAACAATATTATCAAATTTTACATTTGTTAACCCCTTGACAGTTCCTGGCTCATATATGTTCAGAAAAAAGTCGTGCCACCTTTTGTGAGTTTGGACATATATGTCCACCTTACACTGAGAAAAAAAATTTAGTGTTTGCAACAAAATTGTTTGGTAAGGCAATTTTGGTTCTTGTAACGAAATTTTGGTTGGCTGAAACAAAGTCGTAGAGTTATCTCCACCAAACATTTCGTTAGGCCAACAAAATTATTTGGTTGAACATTTTTAAATTCCAACCAAAATTTGGTTATAACCAAACATTTTTGTTGACCTAACAAAAAAAATTTGGTTGAGCTAACCAAACATTTTTGTTATGCCAAGAAAAAACACTCAACCAAATTTTTTGGTTGACTCAAACAAATAGTTTGGTTGCTTAAATACCAACAAAATTTTTTTGTTGGCCCAACCAAATTTTAGTTGCTCTGACTAAACATTTTTCTCAGTGTAGAAAAAAAATAGTAAACGCATAATTTGATTTGAGTGTCAATGGGCATATTAAGGTTTTTGGGGTCGCTGAATCAGAATTTGAGGTCATATTTAAAAATTTCAAAATGTCAGACCTAATATGGCAGAAAATTTTAAAATTGATTCGATTCGTTCAAAATTCTGTACTCGGCATTTTCTGCCATATTGGGTCGCCATATTAGGTCCGCCATTTTGAATTTGTTCAATTTGACCTCAAATTTGGATTCAGCGACCCCAATATAACCCCTGAATTCCAAAACGAGAAAAACATTTTTTTTTGTATTGTGTTAACTTGATCTTGAGAAAAATCTGGAGAAAAGTTAAAATTATTAAAGACAGCTAAATATTTTAATTGTTTATAACATTAACAAAAAAAAATTTTTTTTGCTCTACTTTTTTTAGAAATATATTTTTAAAAAAACCATTTATCATTGAAAATTAAATTTGTTAATTTTACGTGATCCGTTTGAGTCATTCTGACCCAATAATAAAGTGAAGTATTTTTTTATATAAAATTCAAGGTATTTTATTAGATTATTTGACATTTTATTATTCAGGCGATAATGATTATAATATATATTAAAAATTAAATGTTGATATAATGAAAAGCAAATTTTGTAGATATTATTATTTAATTTTAGAATATTTCAAGAGTAATGAAATGGTACTCGTAACGTTCAGATAATTATATAATGATGGTTCATATTATTATTTGTGCGTGGGATAATTCGAAAACTGGTTGCATATAGGTATTTGCAATTATGTTTAATATAACATTCATATTATTATTTTATGTTAATTAAAACTCAAAAATTGCAATTTATATAATTTTAACCTTTCCATTTGGTTTCATTTATTTTAATGACTATTTTTTAATTTCTTTATTTCTGTCTTTTTTTCATATTTTTGTAATTTTCATTTTTATATATTTGTACAAAATTTTTTTTTATATTTTTACTTTTGTGATTTAAAATTTGTTTATATTATAATTATTATAATAAATTACTTTATGAACTAATATTGAATTTCCTTGTTCAAGAAATAATTAGGTTTCAAAGAAAAAAGTCTTACATCTAACTGTAAAGTACCAAAAAAAAGAGTCTAGAATAAAATTATTCTAAAATAGAGAATATATATGCTCAATATTTATTTTGAAATATTTAAATGCAAATTATTTTTCTATTACTCAGAAGTTTCTTTTATGTAATTTAAAAAAATTTTTTATGTATAAGTACAAGTGATCTAAAATAGCCAGACAAAATAATTTCAAAATTCCGGTGGGTAGAATCGAAACCAATTTTTTTTTTTTGTAAAAACAAAATATTTTTCTGGTATTGAAAATAAGTTTTTAATTTTAAAAAATAAATTTTCCCTAATTACTAATAATAAGAAAGAAAAAAATGACAATGTTAAATCGTAAAAGACAAACTTGAAAGAAGTGGATGTGCAAAATGTAAAAATTGTGTAAATTGAAATTTTTGCGAATTTCAATTCTGATAGCAGGTCGGCGACTCTTTTTTTGATCTGAGAATATACGTCGTGTAGAAAGCGAGAGAAAAAGAGAGAGATGCTGCCCCGTAGAGAGAATGGTGATTTTCGTCGTGGCAAATATATGAAGGGAATAAAAACTCACCGAGGGGCGCCCAGCACTTTGAGATCAACCTCAAAAATGCTTCTTGACGTAACAGAGCCACCGGAATTGAATATATCGTAATTAAATATATTTGGCAACCGGTCCAAGAGAGATATATAAATGAAGTTATAAAGTAGATACCAAATATTATACGATAATTTGACATCATTCAAATAATAATTATAAAATTGAACATGAAATTTATTTCCACTGAATTCTTTATAACCGCGCGCGTTTTTATATGTTTACGGTTTCTCATCACATCTCATTTATGATATTCCATCAAAGAGAAAATAATCTCAAAATTGAGAAACAAAATCAGTTTTACGTTGCCAAGAATTTTAAAATTTCAATATTTTTACTTTTTTTTACTAAAAAAAAGTAATATAAGTAAAAAAAAAATATTTATTGGCAGATTTAGCTGTTTTGGTTTTTTTTTTGACATGGTGGAAGGAAGGGAGGTTTAGGTTTTGAAATGGACAAAGAATATGATGATGAGGTTGTGTATGAGTTAAAATTTGCACTTTATGCGATGACAATTTTAATTGAAGAGAAGGAAGTGGAAATATATATAAAAAGATGTGCGCAAAAGATACGAACCGATAGTAATCTTCTTTGCAATAAATGTTGCCGTCTCTGGCGAAACAAGTCAACTCGGCAGCCAATGGAACTCGGCAATGGCAGCATCTTAAGCAACCGCAATGCCAAGCACGATCTGCAGCTCTTAGGTACCATCTTTCTGCTATCTCCCTTCCGCATCCACCACAGCCAAGTGTACCACCTTCCGGACTTGTTCTCTCGGTGCTTCTAATTTGACGATTGCCGACGGCACCATCCCCGGGCAGGGGTGTTGTACCACCACAACCCACTTCCTTCAGCATCGCTTCTCCTTACTCTGCTTTCTTGTCCGCATCCTAGAAATTATTGTTTTATTTTTCTTTTACACTTATATCAAAATTTTAGTTGAAATGGTGAAGAAAAAAAAAAGAAAAAAAAGATTGTGAAGAAAAACTATCTTTTACTTTTAATTTTAAAACTCCAATATTCAAGGTACCTCATGGCACTTCCGGATAATACACGATACGTACTTCATATACTTCAAGATAATTCAAAATATTTCAAGATAATTCACAGTACTTCAAGATATTTCTAGATATTTTACGATACTTCAGATAATTCTGATAATTTATGTTACATTAGATATAATTAACCTACTTTAAGATAATGTAGGATATTTCAAAAAATTTGAAGATACTTCACAATAGTTGAAGGTACTTCAGGATATTTCATGATACATCAAATAATTTAAAATACTTCAAGATATCTTACAGTACTTTAAGGTACTTCAGGATATTTCACGATATTTCATATACTTGAAGATAATTCAGAATATTTCAATATAATTCACGCAGTACATTTAAGGTATCTCAAGGTGCTTAAATGATATTTCATAATACTTCAGATAATTTACGTTATTACGACTGCAGATATTTCAAAATACTTTAAATACTTCCATATAATTTAGGATGTTTCAAGATAATTCTCAGTACTTCAAGATATTTGTGAATACTTCAGATAATTCAAATACTTGAAGATAATTCGGGATATTTCAAGATAATATTCAGTTCATCAAGATATCTGAAGGTACTTCAGGATACTCCACGATTCTTCCGATAATTCAGGATATTATTTCAGATATTTTAAAGTACTTCAAATACTTTAAGATAATTTGGGATATTTTAAAACATTTTAGAATATTTTAAGATAATTTTCAGTACTTGAAACTACTTTAAGATATTTCACAATACTTCAGATAATTCACGTTATTGCGACTGCAGATATTTCATAATACTTTAAATACTTTCATATAATTTAGGATGTTTCAAGATAATTCTCAGTACTTCAAGATATTTGTGAATACTTCAGATAATTTAAGTACTTGAAGATAATTCGGAATATTTCAGAATATTTTTAGATAATACATACATAGCAAGTACTTCAAGGTATTTCAGACAAATTCACGATAATTCTGATAATTCATATGTTACTTCAAATAATTTAAATACCGCAAGATAATGAAAAATATTTTAAGATGCTTCACAGTATGTACTTCAAGGTATTTTAAGATACTTCAGGGTAGTTCAAGATATTTCACGATAATTCGAATTACTTCAGATAATTTATTATACACGGAAAAAAATAGTTTGTGAAACTTTTGTAAACTAGTTGTTCACTTTTGGACGGGCCCAAAGTTTGGAAATCTTTCATTAACTTTTTTCAAGATTCCACAAACTTTTTTTTGTGCGCGTGCGCAGACATTGATCGTCATGAACACAGAAAATTAAAAGGCATTAAAATAAGCTGCAACGCTTATTATTTTAATCCAATTTAGCTTATTTTAATACCAAAATAGATTAAAATAAGTAAAATTGGATTAAAATAATAAGCGTTGCAGCTTATTTTAATACCTTTTAATTTTCTGTGAAGAGAGTGATGAACGTTCGTGAAATCTTGGAAAAATTTAATGAAAGATTTCCAAACTTTAGGACCATTCAAAAGTGAAAAACTAGTTTACGAAAGTTTTTCAAACCACTTTTTTCCGTGTACTTCAATGTTGTCAAAATACTTCAAAAACATCAAGATGATTCAGAATATTTCATGATAATTCTCAATACTCCAAAGTACTTCAGGATATTTTCACAAACACACTCAATTCTTCAGTGATATATTTTTCAGTAGAAAAATTCTATTATAGTCAGACAGATCAAACGGAATTGTAGAAAACATACATTTCTCTTTAAATTTTTTAAGAGTTGAAATATTTAATTTTGAAGTAAATTTTAGTTTTACTTTAGAGTAACTTTAAAGAAAAAATTTTTTTTTTTTTTAATTCAACAATACATTTATCTACTTACAACAAAAGAAAATTTTTATTTTAATAATGAATTGAAAAAACATTTAATATTAAAATGAGAACATCAGAGAAATAAGGAAACAGTAATAGGATATTATAAACTGGGAATAAGAAGAAAAAATTAGAAGGAAATTAAATAATGAAAACAAAAATTATATTTTATCCTGATTATTCAATTATTTAGATATATATATATATATATATATAATACAAAGTAGGGTTTTGTTTTCTTTTTTAAACGTTCATTCAAGAATATAAGAAAGAAAACATTACGAGAGAAGTTTATATAGTTTGTAAGTGGTAGTGTATATAGAGGGAATGACTGAACACGAGAATCTATGAATGAAAAGGATTCCCTCTTGTTAATGCCAGAATATGTCAGGGTAGTAAATCAGTACCGAATCGGGCCGGTGGCTAATTAGTAGGAGGACCTTGCGAGCGATGCGATGGTAGGTTGTTGTGTATACCCTATACTCGAGTCAGTGTCCATTACATTTACGAGCCACTACCACGTGGTTTCCGCGAGTGTTATAGGAAGTGACGTTGTCTTAATCACTGTATATTCATTACAAATAATCAATAATTAGAGAATTAAGTTATAATGTCAGCCTGTGAAAACACTATTTTTTTGTATTATTATTATGATTATAATAATAATAATTACTATAGAAATAAGGATTTTTTTGTGCGATTTTAGGGTCAATAAATAAAAGAAAATGCATATCAAATTAAATATAAGTTCTAAAAAATGGGCAATTTATTAATGTTAATGGTTAATGTTTTTCGTTTAATTCTCCATTAACCCTAGAAGGAATAACTGGGGTATAAATATACCTCATTTTTTTTAAAAAAAAAGATCAATTTTCTAATTTTACTGATTTTTTTTTTGTTTCTATTTTTACAACTTTTTTTTCTGTTCAAAAAATGAATGAACCTGTTGTTTTCATGACAAAAAAAATTAAAAAATAAAAATAAAATAAAAAAAAATTAATTCATTGAACAGTTTAGAGAATATGTAAGTTAATTAAATACTTAATTAAATAATTTTAAATATTATTTTTTTAATTATTTATTACATTAAAAATTTAATATAATATGTATATTTAAAATGTGGGAAGCAGATCACCTATAAAGTCTACACGGCAACTTACTAGCGCGCCACGCACAATTTGTTAAAACTTATATACATATTTTCTAAACTGTTCAATGAATTAATTTGAAATTTTCCAAAAAACTTCCTTATACATTGATAAACAAATGTTTCACTGAAAGTTCCTTCAATTCGAAACTTCCCCACAGACTTTTTGTCGGCAAAGGTATAAGAAAACGTGATTGTTGACATATAAAAAAAAACTATTAAATAGTGTTAAACAACCAATTATTTTTAAGTTTTTTAATATGCTGTCGTCTTCTGTGGACCCAAACGTGTTTGTATAACAAATCCGAATTAATTTTATCAACATTTGTCGAAGCTAGGAGGATTTATGTTTTAAAATTGAATGAAAAATCACAGAAAAAACGCTGGGTAAATTTTGTTGCGCGGGTAATTTTCATTAATACTAAATTAACATATAGACGGTGGCGCCCTCAACTAGGATAAAATTTGTTGCAGGTAATTTTTATATACCGATTTTGGGGTAATAATTCTACTTTTTTTTCGTGTGCATGTATATGAATATTTAAATTTGTTAGTTTTTTGCAATTATTATTTAAATTATTTGTTTTATCAAAAAAATCCATAGAAAGAAAAGATGCGCCTTTTTATTTCCTATAAGGTAGAACTTTTCAAAACTCAAAATTTTTAATTTTAATTTTAACGGCATTCACACGAAAAAAAAGTCGAATTTTTACCCCAAAATCGGTATAAAAATTACCTGCAACAAATTTTATCCTAGTTGAGGGCCCCACCGTCTATGTGAATTAGCATTAGTTAAAATTACCCGCAACAAAATTTACCCAGCGTTTTTTCTGTGTTGGAGAATAGATGTTCGGCAATACATAGTCCAGCCGAACGCCTCGGCGAGTTCTTTTTCTCGTCCGCTTATATATACCCCAATTACCCTTTAGAGGGTGAGTAAATTCAGTTACGGTAAAATTACATAACGCATTGAAAATAATTTTATTTAATTCAAATAATCGGTTACTTGACTATTATCAAATAATTTTTATTTAAATTAAATAAACTGTATATGAAACAAATACCATTTGACTCAAATAATAATTATTTGATACAAATAAATATTCTAATTTGATAATAATCAAGTAACCGATTACTTGAATCAAATAAATTTTTTTCAGTGCGTAATAACAATAAATAATAAAATGTATATAAATAGAAAATAAATATACAGAAAAAAAATTCACTGAAAGAATAGAAGAAAAAAAACGAAGACAATCAAATGAAGGAAAAAGTAGTAATAGTGGTGAGAGTAGAGGGGGAATGGGGAAAGAATGAAAGGATGAGAAAAAGATTGAAAAGAATATATATATATATATATATATATAAAGAAGGGAAAGAAGAAGAAGAAGAAGAAGAGTCTTGAGAAGAAAAGACGGCAAGGAAAGTAGGACGCCCCTGGTCTTTCGGCTTATGTCACGAGGACCCCCGTCACACTATCCTCGTCTGAGAAATTTTAATGATCGCCTTCTTCTCGACTCTTGTGCGCGCTTCTTTTATACCTACCTGGATTCGATTCTTAGCCAGTTGGAAGCTTCAGAGGCGAATTCCGCGCTGGTCCACGACTTGAGAGATGTGCAGCGAAAGGCTGCTCTTCGATGAATCTTCCTTATAGGCTTCTTGATATGAAACCCTTCCTACGATTCGTCTCCTGGGGAGGTGCTCCTCTTTGTCGAAACACAACACGCGACCTTGACGATATATTCCTATATATCAGAGAATGTGTCTCTTTTAATAAAATTTTAGTAAATTTTATTTTAAGAAAAGAAGAAGTCGTATTTTATTTTGATTCTAATAATTAAAAAAAAAAATACTTTTCTTGAATTTCTGATCAAACTTCTTTAATATTAATTGTCAGTTTATTAAAGATATGTTGAAGTTATAAAATTTATATAAGATTAAAAACTTTATGCTAAATTTAAGACAGAGCTTTTTTAAATTAAGGCTTTAGTTTAATAAGTTAAGACCAAAACAGTACTTTGAAAATTAATTTCACTTCACTATACACGAAGAAATTTTTTATTCAAACCAAATTTATTTCAAGAAATCTTTTCTGATTTTTCAAAAAATTTGTGAATACCTAGATATTTTTTTTATTTTTTTTCAGTTAAGAATATTTTAAAAATAGTTGTAAATATATTTTTTCTTTTTGGAATTTTGAAATTTTGTAATAATTAAATGTTAATTGGCGTATAAAATATTCTTCGACTTAAATTTTTATTTTCTATAATTTTTAAAATGATTAATTTTTTTTTTATTGAAAATGTTTAAATTTTAAAATGCCAGATATTTGATTCCTTTTTATTGTTTCATACATTATACACGACGTTCATTTTACTACCGTCGGCAAAATAAATCAATACTGGAGTGTTATTGTGCAATATAATGATAAATCTATTGTTAGTTTATTATGTAATTTAAAATTAATATTGTTAGATTGATTGTTAGTGGAAATTTTTTACTTTATAAAAAAAATTAATGAAAATATTCTTTCAAATTTCCCCCCCTGAATCATAAATAAACATCGGAAAATTTCATTTATAACTTTCATTCTATAGTTATTAGTATAATAATTTATAATTTTTAATAATATTTAATTATAAAAGAAGAGAACAAAATTAGATCAAAATAAATTTTTTTTTATTATTATTATTATTATTATTTTTATTATTATTCGAATAAAAATATTTCTGGATGTATTATATAATATAGCTATAGCTTTCCTGCAGGTTTGATTTTTAAATAAAAAGTGAGTATCTATAATAATTTGATAAAAGAAAAAAATTTTATTTATACGAAACATCTTTGATTTGAAATAGAACACGAAATATAAAGGATTAAAATTCAATATCATATTGAAATCATATACAATATTGATTAAAAAAGAAATAACAGAAAAAAATATAGAAATTCAACCTCAGAATGGGCGATTGATTGCAAATAAGAAAATCCAGATTCAATGAAATAGAAATTCAAGTTTGAATGAAAACTAAATTATTTGTAAAGGAATATTTTGAAATAAGAATATATATACAATGGAGATGCAAATACGCTTTTTTGTTCTCAAAAACTAAATTGTTTTTTGATTATATATATAATCTATGTGAAAAAGCTGGGTATGTACATACCTTTTATCATCATTAGGTTTTCATGTCAAGATGAACAACATTTTCTAGATAGCAAACAATCTTTTCTTTATAAAATAAATTGCAACTACACTCTCATTTATATTTATCACAGTCAGAAAATAGTTTGATTATTATTGATTTAAGTAAACACTTGTTATATAGATAAACTAAATGTTATAAAAGCGTACTTTTTTAGCGAAATTCAACATTAATAAAACAAAAAAGCAAAAGTTGAATTATGCAAAATTCAATTTGTTTAAATGCAATTATTTTTTTTAATAAAAATTTTAATAAAATATTTTTTTTAAATTAATTGTTTTTTCAAATGCATGACAGAAGATTTATGTATGGTTATGATTTATACAGCATCTTTAAAAACACGTTTTGTTAAATATATTTGATTCACTGAAACCTATTTTCTTCATCATTAGAAAGTCAATTTTCAAAAAAAAAAAAAGAATTTCCTCTTACACACCTCATTATTCCAACGAATTTTGACTTCCGGCAACAATTCCAAAGTTTAAGCACAAAGAATCTTCATTAGGATAAATCCTTGAATTTTGACGCATCAGCATCCTCTCATGTCTTTTGTATATATATATATAAAATTCAAGTTTGTATATACATGTGTATATACACTCGTCTTGTGTAAGAGCAAAAACATAAAGCTCTATTCCTCCCTCTCTTTCTCTCTTCTCATCAATAAAATGAAGGTCTTCGAGTCACGTAAATCGCAAATCACCGATATCTTCTTGCCTCTTTTCCGGTCATCGGAGGAGTTCATTTACCGCACGCGACAAGAAGATGGAGCAGGGTAGGCACGATCGCGTGGCATTTGATTCACGTACACAGAAAGGCCAACAACTCGAATCAGTAACAGCAGCAGCACCACCACCAACATCAGCTTTATAATAGCGCGCAACTCGTTCGTTGTTATATATCTATATATGTGTGTGTGTGCGTTTGTGTATTGGTGAGAGTAATTAGCGAGAATACAAAATGCTGAACGCGTACCGGTCCTCGAGTCAGGACGATCGGCCGGAGCCAGTGACGCGATAGCTGGAACGGTATGAAGGTATCATCGTTGGAAATCAATGTGATAACTTGAAACAGAGACTTGCGATAATCACGAAATGAGAGGGAAAAAAAAGAGGAGTGGAATGGGCACTTAAAAAAAAACAGAAATAAATAAATAAATAAATAATATTTGCCGAACGTGAAACGAAAACGCCGCTGATAATATGACGAAGACGAGTTTGAAACGTGAAAGCTTCCAAACCCGGTGTTTTAGTCGTCGAGCTAGAGAGGCAGGAACGCGGCACAGACGTCAGGAAGGAAGAAAAGAGGGATGGCTGGTGTGTGCGAGGGGAGGGGTTTTGCAAAGCAAGGATCAAGGGATGGCGACGCAGGGGCATCCCCAACGCCCGGCGTTTGCGCTCTTGTAATATTCCCATCCCCTTCGTTTTATATATCTATATATATATATATATATATATGTGTGTGAGTGTATATGAACAAAATCCTCAACCGCACGTCCCGACGCCCTCCGTCTGTCCGCATCCCTCTCGAACCCACCACATCTGATGCTTGCTGCATCAGATTTCAACTATATATATTATAGAATATATACATGTGCATCTCAAGAAAATAGTTCAATCCTGGAAATTGGATATTTACTTAGAGAAACAGAATTGTTGAATTACACACTCGAATCAGAAATTTAGTACTGACGCGCACGTACCTCAACATTGGCGCCGGAATATAATATGTAAAAAAAGGGAGTTTGATTTTAACTCCCAAGTGGATTCTAAAAAAAGTCACACTCTTTTAGAGTTGATTCTAAGATAATGTTAATTTTATGCCTATAGGGAGTTAAAGAAGTTAATCTAATGGTTACTCACTTTTGGAGTTGGGTTTTAACTCCAAAAGTTGTACTCCCAACTCAGGTCGCCATTAACTCTTTAAATTTTTTACAATGTACACTGTAAAAAAGGAAATTAGATTTTAACTCCCAACGGAAAAAAAGGAATCACTGTGAAAAAAGGGATTCTATAAAAGGCGCACCTTTTTGGAGTTAATAGGGAAAGGAGTTGATTCTAAGGGAGTTAATTTTATGCCTACGGAATTAATACTAGAGAAGTTAATCTAATGTTTTGGAATCAAATTTTGGAGTTCATTTTTAACTCCAAAACTTTTATTCCCAACTCCGGTTGCCAATAACTCTCCAATTTTGTTTACAGTCATATAAAAAATTGATTTAATGAGAGGAAAATCTGTACACTCTGTAAAAAATTTGGGAAGTTATTGGCAACCAAAGTTATGGGAATAGAGGTTTTGGAGTTAAAAATCAGCGCCAAAAAGTTGATTCCAAAAACATTACTTTCTTTTTCTTCAAGTCCAAAAAGGACGTGCGACTCTTATAGAGACCCGTTGGGAGTTAAAAACAAATTTCTTATTTTCACAGTGTACACTGTAAAAATTTAAGTTTACTCTCTAAATCTGAATTAGTGAAAATTTTTACTAATTTGAATTAGTGACTCACTTTTTGCTATTGAATTAGTTAAATTTCACTAATTATTAGTCAAAGTTACTAATAATTAGTAAAATTTTACTAATTCAATAGCAAAAAGTGAGTCACTAATTCAAATTAGTTAAAATTTTTACTAATTCAAATTTAGAGAGTATAAAGTACAATGACATATGCACTCCATGAGGAGTTAATTCTAAATGACTTTAGTGCAAATACTTGTGAGTGAGTTAACACCAAAATACCCAGTACAAACTTTACTCACTTTTGGAGTTACTTTTAACTCTGGAAATTTCACTCCCAATTTTGCAAAATACAATAAAAGAAATTAAATTTTAACTCCCAATAGGATTCCATAAAAATTACACCTTTTTGGAGCTCAAGAAAAAGAAGATCAAAAGTTTTGATTATTATTACCATTGTTATCATTTATTAAATTATCACACTTTTACAAAATGTATTAAAATAGAAGAATAAGCTATTTTTACAATTAAATTAGAAATATTAAGAAAATTTTTAACAATATTCATATGATCCAAAAATGGGTAAAATATTAAAAAATGCTATACAACTGGAGTGTCACTTTAGAAAAAGAGAAAGATAAAGTGAGAAGGTAAAAATATATATGCGGGGTAAAGCACGACCTGGCTCTGTGTGCTAGGCGCGGCCTTCTACCTCCCGCTCGATAGGACTTTAATGTTTAGCCAATGGAAGAACGGATGATGATAAATCCGTTAGGCGATTGGTTGCAGCTGAAGCTCCCGCTGACAACGAGATGAGGCAAACAAGGAGATGAGACAAGGAGAGAGAAACAAGTTTGCAGCATCCGCGTTCTCAATGTATATACCGAGAATGCGAGTCATCTGGTGGAGAAGCTCGAAAACAGCGTTTATAAATTACAATATCTTCTTTAATCTCACACTGCGTTGAAATTATAATATATAAAATTTCCCGCACTCTTCTCAATTAAGGTATTTCATAAGTGTGAAATTAACACTTTAGGAATTATTGGTTTTTTTTATTTTAGTAACTGAAATTTTTATTAACTAAATTACGTTAAATTTTTTATGCCTTTAATATACATGTACTACATACACTGTAAAAAATTTAGGGAGTTAACGGCACTAGGAGTTGGGAGTTCGATTTTTCGAGTTAAAAATCAACTCGAAAAAGGAGTTAACCAAGAGTGGAAGGGAGTTTAGTATCAACTCTCTTTTGAGTTATTTTATAATATGGAGGATCATATTCTCCAACTCGTGTAATGAGTTTAAGTTGAACTCCCTAATCTGAACTCCCTTTGCAATAACTCCTCAATGGGTGGGACTTTTATAGCTTCCCCTGGGGAGTTGAAATTCAACTCCTTTTTTTTTACAGTGTAGATATATTTTTCCTTTAACTCCAAAAGGGTGCGACTATTATTAAGTCCCGTTCGTATCAGAGAAAAAAAGAAGTGTTATATTAATACTAAATATGGTGTTAAAGTAACATGCAACAAAATTTGTACATGCACTATAAATTTTTAACTCCCAACGGGACTCTATAACAGTCGCACCCTTTTGGAGTTGAAGCCAAAAGAGTTAATGTTAAGGGAGTTTTATTTATACCTAGGGAATTAATTTAATGTTAACTCACTTTTGGTGTTAATTTTTAATTCAAAAATTTCTACTTCCATTTCCGATTACCATTAACTCCTCAAAATTTTTTACAGTGTATATTAAGGAGTTGATTCATTTTGGAAGTATAAAAATAGTATAAAAATTTGAGAAGTTAATGGCAACCAGAGTTAGGAGTAAAATTTTTGGAGTTAAAACTCAACTCCAAATGTGAGTAAACGCAGTAGATTAACTCTCCACAGACATAAAATTTACTCCTTTAGCATCAACTCCCGTTGCTTTAGCTCCAAAAGAGTGCAACTTTTGATATTTCTCTATTATATAGATTTATTATTGCCAGTAGATAATATAAGAAAACATTTTTGAAGAAAAACCCTATAAGGATGTTTTTCACATTGAAATTAAGAACAAAATTATACCTCTTGCGAAAGGAGATTTGAAAAAAAAACAGAAAAATTAAAGACCACGTAACGAGTGTAAATAAAATTTACTGTACATTTGATGATCGTTGATGCAAATGAATGCGTTTAGAGGATATATATATATATATATATATATACGTATATAGCAGTAAACGCACACATATGTGAAATCACCAGAATCGCGTACAGTAGTAGACGTCTGGCATCCTGCTGCCTGGGCCGTTGAGTCCGGATAGACGTTAGCGATAAACGTGCGTTAACGCGGAAATTAACCGTTATATCTTTGCACTTATTTACCCGTAGACTGAGATAAGTTATCCTGACTCACGGGATATTTTACATAATGCAATAGAGTTTGTGTGATGCGATAGCGGAAACTCCCGGTTAAAAGAACCGTATAGTCACTGAAATAATGGGGCCATGATTTTTATCTCTATCCGAAAAGACATTCGCGTTGAAAATCAATAAGCCGCGCGCGGCTTGAATTTATATATATATATATATATATATATATATATATGTGATTGGTATCGGCAGTGATCTTTATTCCTCAATTGGATTTTTTTTCTTTTCGCGGAGACAAGAAAGATATCACTTGCACTATACATATACCTACTACTATACTGTCAAGAGGAAAAAAGATTTTTTATTTTCCATTGGATATGCGAAATTGATCCAGTGAACGACAGAACAGCATTTTTTTGCTGTAATTCAATTGAATTGGGAGCTCGTTAAATTTACAGGTATATATAAATATTACAATACAGTGAATGAAAAGTTGTCACGTTGCGAAAATTTATATTTCAGAGATTAATTTAATTAGCATATATTGAACAACAGTTTTTTTTCTATATTTTTTAATAGTGGGGCTTATTTTCGTCGTACACTGTAAAAAATGTTGGAGTTTGGATTAAAACTTTATGAGTTAAAAATCAACTCCAACAGTGAGTTAAAATATTAAATTTAATTTGCTTAAACTCCAAAAGGGTGGACCCGTTGGGAGTTTAAATCTAACTCTCATTTTTTTACAGTTTGCAAAACACCTATAAAATATTTGGGGAGTTAATGGCAACCGGTGTAGTCGAGTAAAATTTCTAAAGTTAAAAATCAACTCCAAAAGTGAGTTAACATTAACTCCCGCAGCATCAACTTCCTTTACTTTAACTCCATATATAGGTACAGCTTTTATGGAATCCCTTTTAGGAGTTAAGATTTAACTCCCATTTTTACAGTGTAGAGTAAAATACATTGTAAAAAATTTATGGTGTCAATGGCCAGCAGAGTTTAGGAGTAAAATTTTTGGAGTTAAAAATCAACGTCAAAAGTGTAATCATTAAATTAACTTCCTTAGCATCATAACTCCTTTTGCTTTAATTCCTGAAAGTTGCGACTTTTATGAATTTTCGTGTTCGTATGTATATTTAAAATCTAACTCTTTTTTTATTATACAGGAATTTTAGGAGTATAATTTACCGAATTATAAATCAACTTCTTATAGTTATAGCTTAATGTGAAAATTTTATCATCTTTTTAAACTCTTGCCCTAACTTTTTATTTTTTTATTCTCACATAATATATACTTTTAAAATAATCTTTCGCCAATTTCAATTTAGAGAGTATATATATTATATTAACAAGGGAAAAGAGTAAATTCCCGTCAAGATTATAACGGATAACAAAGTGTGCTTTTTCTCTCGAGTGATCTTTAAAGATGACTTTTCCAGGTCAGATTGAGCGGAAGATGAAAAATTTTTTGAAGCGTGTAAAAGGACGTCAATTACTTAGCGCGCGAGAGACTTT